GGGGGGTTGAGAGAGTCTATTACATTATGGTGGACCTGCTTTTAATTTTATTTTTGAGTGGTACAATGTGATTGCTTTTGGGTTGCATTTTAAATGGTATGCTCTGTATAGTCACCTTAGTGTTCACAATACATATAGTTGAAGGTGGGTATGACTTTAAGAGAAAGATCTTTAACGGTAGACCTCAAGGAAATTTGAAGTCTCATAGTTAGTTATAATAAGATATTACTGATATACGAAGGCTCTTTTTTTAAACATACATCCTTTATTCTTAATCATTACAAGAGCGTTTCTTTTCAAAATAGACTCCCCTAAACTATATACGCAAGCCAGCGTTTTTGCCACTTATCAAATAAATGGCTGAAGCCACTTTTTGGACATCTTTAAAATCGCATCTGCAGCTTTGACTGCAGCATCTGTTGTCTGGAAGCACTGTCGTTGAAGCTGCCTTTTCAGTGTAGGAAACAAAGAATGAGTCACAAGGCACTATATTTGGGAGGTAGGGAGGGTGGGGATACACTGGATACCTTTACTTGTCAAAAACTGATTGGCGATGTCCGTAACGTGGTCTGGCATTGTCATGATGTGTCCAAGCTCCGGTCATTTTCTTCTGATGTGGTCCATGAGGGTTTTGAGAACTGAACAGCTGTAAGCTTCAGTGACAGTAAATCATTCCACGGTAATAAAAAACACTTGCCATAACTTTAACTGCTGATTGAGAGGCGTGATTTTTTTAAAAAGAAGCTTGAAGAGACCCATTTGGATGCTTTGACGCTTACTCTGAGGATCATACAGTCTAATCCATGTTATATAAACTGTTAACTTTGTTCTGTAACCACTCGTTTCCCTGTACTTCGCAAGACATCCAGCAGACTTCAATGCGGTTTGCTTGGGCATCAGAAGTCGAGGAGGAATCCATCCCGCACAGGTACTGAACATGATCAAATGACCAAAGTGCTGTTGACTGATGTAAAACGTCTTCCCAATACGCCCCTTCTAACCAATTGTATGCTAACCTAACTTGCAGTTTTCTTTAAGCGGTAACAAAATTTAAGCACAGCGCTTCGTTCTGCTTTAACATCCATCATGACGGATGTATGACTTTGGAGGCGAGACAGGCGTAGCATGAAACCAAGGTCTCAGCACAGGCTCATCTGAACACGCAGATACCTATAACTGCAGGCGCTGACTTACACCAGTCAGTGCTACCAATCACCATAATTGAACATTCTCTTGCCTTCCAAACATTTAACAAAAATCATTCTCAGTCTTCATTCAACAGCCCTTATATTTGCATGAAGTTGATAAACTATGGAATTAACGCTGTTGTGCATGTTAATGAAGTGTGACATTAGTTAAGGTATTTAGACACAACGTATTTTCTTTATCTTAACACGTGGTATTCACAAACATAAGTACATTTTTATAAACATCTAAAACCTTGAACCATTTTATTATCAACCCACAGATTTTGTAAACTGATTTGAATGTAGACCTACTCATACTTCATTCATGAAATGTCATTATGTTCTATGTACGTGCCATAGAAATGCAGAATGTTGTGTGAAGTAAAAGTTCCAAAAAGGGGGTTGTCTGAGATAACCAACATGGTTTTTCCATGGACTTGAGACTTTGTTCCTGGTATAAAATGTGTGTACAAATTTGTGTATGAAAGTGTGATCCATGTTTGACATCATATGACTTCAAGTTGACTGATAGGTCATCTCATTGGTGCAGTGAGAATTCAGCACAAAGTTCTTTACTATTTCTGGATAAATCAGATTCACATTCAGAAATTATTTCTGTGAAATATTGCTACAAGCTCTGACAATACAAATAGCTTATTATCTTTATGCAAGGTGCAACACAGTTTATATATTATACATTAACATCTATTTTTACTACATTTGATTTCTGTAATAACTTTCTATCTATAATATGCTATGAACTGCTAATATTGTGACTGCATTTAGAATAAGTTGAGTAATAACTGGTGAAATAAATATACCAGAGACTCCAAGTAAACCATAAAGAACAAAGTTCTAATCCAATAAACAAGACTAGGAAGGTGTATTCCATTCCTGAAAATACACATGCATTCTTTGCATATTCTGAATTATTAACTATAAAAATCACTTGATCTTAAAGTCTTCTTTGAATACCCTGAATCAATACTGATATGCCATAAGGCACTTTACCTCTCTGGTAGCATACTGGACTTGTATGACATCACAAGATCAAATCCTGGTGAAGTTAACAGGGTTTTTTTTCTTTCATACAGCCACTATGTTGTTATTTTACATTACACAAAAAATTATTTTCCAAAGTTTTGTATTTCTCAAAAACCAGGAACTGTCTATTATTGTATAGCCATATTGTAAGTGGTGATAATGTCAGTCCCACCTAACAGTTTTGTTTATCTGACATGTTTGTGTTACCAGTTATAGAAAATTGAAATGTACAATTTTAAGGCAGACCCCAATGTCATAATGTCCATACCAAATTTTATGCAAATCGATCAAGCAGTTGTTGAGTTGAATCACGTGGACAGACATGACCAACCCTATATGTCTTCATTTCATGCATATCATGCAAGGAATGCATAACGGCATAAGTTAGTAAACCGCGGTATACTAATTAAATCTAAAGCACATTTTTCTGAATATCTATAATAGGAGTCACCCCTTGGTGGACTAGTGATTAGCGTGCTTGCCACTGGACCCAAGGTTTGCGGGTTCAAACCCGACCGAGGTCGATACATTTTTAAGGGTGATACGAGATGTTTCGTAAGCAAAATTGAGCGGCCATTTCTCACCCAAGTCTCTCCTGATTCACTACTAGATGGCAGTGAAATCAGGATTGAGTAGGAATTGTGCAGAGACAGTGGGTTGGTCACTCTCTACCCACAAATGCACACTTCAAAGACTAGGAAACCTCTGAATACCACAAACGGGTTGTAGAGCCAAGGAACAACAACAACAACAACAACAACCTAGTAATAGGAAGAGGAAAGATGTCAGACAATGCATTTACGTATTTGAACTGGACTTTGGAATTGGACTTTGAGCTGAATGTTTACAATAAAATATCTTTAAATGACCCCAATAAAAAAAGCAGTAGACGAGTAATGTAAAAACTACAATGTTTTGAACATTGGCGAAGGCTGTGACGCATCAACTAGGGCAAAGTACAGAGTCCATATACACGAGAGCTGCTTACTACTCTTAATTCCTACTCAAGTACAATGACACTGTATCTGTGAAACAGATTGTTTCATACAGAATTTGTAGATATGTTTATTATCTCCATACAGAATTTCACACAACTGTTTCTAATGGTTCATTAGTTACTTTAGTAGCCATCGCCAAATTGCATGTGTCATGGTCACAGCAAAATCATAACAATGCTACAACACAAACAGCAGAGCGCAGGTGAGTTAAAACAGCTCAGAACTTGCAGCTTAGTAAAACTAGCAATGCTGTACTGGCGACTTATAACCACGCAGTAAGGAAGGTGGGGTCCTTCCATGACCTTGAAGCATGCAGTTTGGTGATTGCTACTATATCATCAGACCAAAGGCTAAATGTAGACCTCACATTGCTTTATTGTTATTTTATGTCTCATATTTTTGAAAAACCTTTTTCTACACAATGTCAAGAACCTACACTAGTGTATCAGAAGTGGTGCTACTGTTTCTGCCACCTCACATGTTTGCAAAACCACCATGTTGGAGTTACTGATAGTAGGAAATTAAACAGTACAGTTGTGGAGGGCCACTAATGGGATGATGTTTATACAAAGTTAACAAAATCCATCTTTTGGCCCAAAAATTACTGGTAGAAGCAGACATAGAGATGAATACACAGATGTGGGTGTCCATGAGAATTCCATAAATACCATAAGCTTGTATTCTGTTACAAAACTAGACACGTTGGCTATAAAGTAATTACAAGATCTTGGATGTCTGTAGTTTAAGTGTGTATGTGCACATAAAACATCAAAGATGAGATCACATAATTCTTCAGTCAAATATAATTCCTTCTTGCCCATGAGTATATTTTGAGGAGGTGATGGTTTGGCTTGTGACATGAGCAAGCTACATTTGTCTGAAGAATGGGATTAGGAACATCAGTCATTGTAATAACCTCAACTAATATTATTCTTATTGATTAAATTATTAGATAATAAAGAAATGAAATAGGGTAGGACGGGTGTGGACTTAATTCATCTGATTCAGTGCAGGGACTACTGGTGGGCTTGTGTGAACGCAGAAATGAACCTTTGGGTTCCATAAAAGACGGTTAATTTCTTGACTAGCTGAATGCCAATCAGTTTTTTAAAAAGGGCTCCACTCCATGGAGTTAAATAATAAAATAATTTAATAACAGCAAAGAATCAATTGAAAACTGAACCATGCATTCCATTTGCTAGAAAATGTTAAAGAATTTAATTATTTTCTATATAAAAATTTGTGATTAGTCGTTGTCTTCAATAAATTACGTCATCAACAATGTCAACAGATATTTGTTTACTCGGCATTGTTGTGGAACACAACAATGCCGAGTACAACACAACAATGCCGAGTAAACAAATAATGCTTCACTACCAAGCCAGTCGCATTATCACTGCTAAAGAAGCAGCACATCACGTCGCTTTATTAAAAATTGACTGACAGTTGGCCTAAAACATCAGAAAAGTGAAAAAAGATGTTATCAACTACTTGAAGTACCAAATCCAACAACTGCAACAAGGTAAAGTGATACTAATAATACTACTCATATACTCTATATATTACGATTACGAAAACTATTATGATCGATTTTAAGACGAAGATTTGCAAGGGTGGGGCTGGACGTAGAAAGTTTACTGACCAAGAACAGTTGGCCTCTGAACAGCGACGTAAAGAACTACTACATAAGACCTATTTAAGAAATAAAAAAGAGCGAAAGAAGACTTACAATGATAGACGAGACCATATTAACGACACTGGGGGGGTTAGTTTATTGTCATGTTCAAGTGTTTTAACCCTTGAGTAAGAAACTAAACTACCCCCCCCTCCCCCAATGGGGGTTAAAACACTTGACCCCTTCTTTTTAAGAATGCATAGTTTGGAAGAGTCTAAATCATTCTTAGTTTCCACTGGAAGTATTAATTCCTGTTCTATGTCAAGGTCTTGCTTCATTGCCACAGACAATTCTTTCTATGTGAGATTTCAGGTTCTCAGTATGAAGATGACTGTCTTCTGGGGTGCCATGTAGTTTGGTAGAAGTTTACTGGCATTTCAGAGGTGCTTGCTGCGTCCGTCATCAGGGCAAAGATATTGGAAGCAGTAAGCACCTCTGAAACATTGGTAAACTTCTAACAGATTGCATGGGACAGCACCCCTTGAAGACAGCCATCTTCAGTATTTCTTCTGTGAGATTTATGTATTCCCCAAGAAATACATTTATCAAATAATGAAGATGACAGTATTCTGGGTTGTAATGCCATGTAGTCTGGTATAAGTTTACCATCGTTTCAGAGGTCCTTATTGATTCCATCGTCAGGGTGAAGAGTCACTCAAGAGCACTGTGAGTATATCATCACCCTGATGATGGAGGCAATAAGGACCTCTGAAGCAGTGGCATACTTACCCAGACTACACTGCACTACAAACTAGAAGACAGTGATCTTTGTATTCACCACTGTGAGAACCCCAAATCCTACATTCTCAAATAAATAACCATTGCAGAGGCCCAGGACTACGTGGGAAAAACATATAAGGGAAAATATGCAAAGTTGAGTAGCAAAAGAGTGGACACACAAAAAAATAGTCATAATTGGAGAAGAGGATAAATTATGGCTTTCTTCTAAGGTTCTCGGTCCAGGTAAAATATCGCTTAATGGTGGTATTGATAATTTGCTTATCATTTATTTAATCATGCTGTTAGTAATTCATACTATATGGCATCAGATTAATGAGTTAATGAATTGAAAGAATGTGAAATGAAATAGCACTGTCCTGGCATTTGCCAGGAGTGAATGACGGAAAACGACAACACCGCAGTAAGAAGAGCCAGCCTCTGAGCTGAGATTTGAATCTGGGACCTCCTGACTATGAAGTGGGAATGGTAACCATTGAGCCATGATGTTCAGTTATACACAAATAAATAATGATTACAATTTGTATATTCCATGTATACTAAAACATAGTACTGTTGAGATGTAATTTCTTACCTGTAATGCGGCCTAATCTGTATTTGAAATTTCTCTGTATTGTTTGCCCAGCAGATGCAGCCATATGGGCACCAAGACTATGCCCAATTATATGAATGAGCTCCGGTTGGATTCCAACTTGTACCTAAGGAAACAATTTTAAAATATGTTCACTGGTTTTGACTAAATGACAAAAGTTGCGTTCTTCAAAATTGCAAGGGAGCTGTCATGTAACTTATCTTAATTGCATGCAGTGTCATTTTGTGTTAATATGACTGAAAAACTGGATAGTGTGGAATGGAAGTGCAGTTATTTCCAGAGCAATGATTGCTTGTCAGGATGCGTAATTGCCCCACAAATAATTGTCACTGACACAATGACTAAAAGAATGACAGAATGCTGCTACTAATTTTTAATATAAAAGTTATCAGTCTTTTTGTATCAAAAGTGTGAAGTAGATGAAGAATGGAAGATATTATATACCAAACAACTTTAGGATTCATGCACTCATTTAGTACCTTCAGGAGTATTCAATCAAGGAGGAATTGGCTGGACGTATGTCTCAAGTGGGGAATCAGTATATGTATATGTTACCTGCAAACTATGAAATCTGGCAATGTATAGAATACGTAAAGTCAGTAGGCAGCTTGTCTATGGAGGGTGGTGTGTTTTAAAGTATTACTTTTCAGAGTAGCTGTAACCAAATTGCATCTTCAAAGCCATGGAAGGGCATCACCCTCCTTCCTACAAAGCTCTAAGTTAATGGTACAGCATTGCTAGCTTTGCTACACTGCAAGTTGCAAGTTGTCCTCAGTTGCCTGGGCTCTGCTATTAGTGTTACAGCTTTGTGCAGTTTTGCTATGACCTTCATGACAGCTACTTTTGTGATAAATACATGTCACATCACTATACAAAAAGTATATAATAATATTACGTATTATTGACACCATTTATCATTTTAGCACTAAGTAAAAATGTAGGAATACAATGACAGATGTTATTTAAGTACAAAAACATAATAAAACGTGAGAAAACTGAAGCATACTTACAATTAAATTATTTATCAAGTGAGCTGTCATGGCTCCAACAAGTCTGATGTTTGCGACTGCTTGAGGGTAAGGAGGGCCAGAGCCATCACTCCAATCAATAACTATCACACTACAATCTGACAATTTTAACAGTTCCATTGTCATATTCTGCAACAGGGATATTAAGGATGTCAGATATTGTTTATACTTCATTAAGTCATTGTGTAAAATAAAGAATGTATAAACTTTTCTTTTAAATTTACTGTCACACACCAATTTGTAGCGTTTATTTTATGGAAATTGGAGACTGAAATCCCATTTATGTGAGGCTGCCAACCACACTTTAAATCTGGAGTTAACAGTTTGGTGATCTGCTGGTGCAACCAATGGCCAGACTGTGCTTAAGCTGTGTCGCACAGACAATAAAGGTTTGTGTGCACTATGACTGAATTAAAATATGTGAAGAACAAATGCAATTAAAATTATAGGCCGGCGTCAGAGTATGGTATATTCAAACATAAATGTTCAATGTGATTTATTAGCATGCAATCCTCACTGAGATATTTGTGGTTTTGCTCAGTCTCCAGAGGCAAATTCTGGGGTAGTAGTATCTTAAATTAGGTCATGGCTGCTTCCTTCTGTATTCTTCCCAATTCATTATTCATTAATCTATCATGTGATGCTTTGTAATCTAGCTATTGACAGTATTGTTAAATAAAACATATGGATAAAGTAATATTGAATATTAGCCAGCGCTTTAAAACTTACTACTATTAAAGAGTTTGCAGTTGTCAATTTGTCCATTGAAAAAAGTTCACTGAATTTTTATTTTGTTGCAGATAGATTTAAGTTAGGGTGGAATTGTAATTAATTGAATGAAAAAGTTTTGATCCACAATAGAAGTACTTCGGCCACCAATTTCGCTGAAAACTGTTATAGTCTCACTAAATGAAACATGCTTCTTCACATATGTTTGTGCCTGATGCGCTATTCTTCATGAAAGAATCAAACTCTTGTTATTTTTCATGAGCTCTATTAAAAAGAAGAAACATTTGTTACCACATTTAAAGAATTAGAACATTTATGATTAAAGCAGTATCACCAGTTTTCTTGGGGAGATTGATTTAAATGCTTACGTACTAACCTTTATCCATTCCTTGTTGCCATTCTCTATGAAACCATGTGTGATAAAGAAGACCCTGTGATTTGACATCATATAGGATCGGAACAATGTGTCATTATCTATAATATCCAGATTCTGTTGACAAATGTAATGTAATAAGAAATTTTGTATCCTTTCATATTGTATGGTTTATAATACAAGTATTTCTGTATGTTCACCTTACTTTACCATTGTATGCCAGTTAATGTCACCAGTGAATTACAAAAACTTCCAGCCACACCTCAAAGGAAGAAAGACTTTATTCATCTTACATTTTAAAATAATACCAAATGTTTTACATTTGTCTCATAATTACTTTTAACAGCTATACAGACTTTACCATGCCATTTTATGACTTATTTTTATGCAATTTTATTCATTTTATGCATATTTACATATGAACATTATTGACAAACACTAGTAAAGAAGTGTGTTTTATTCTTGTTTGTTGAATCATTGTAAGTAATGATGAGCCCTTGAGGCTGAAATTGGGAACATTACTGAAATCTTATTCACATGCACAGTATAATATCTGATTGAGGACAGTATGACTAATTTTACTGTATTCATTAAAATTATATTTGACTAGCTCAATTTACAGAACAAACTGATAATTTTAATTGCCTATAATTCAGTTGATTTTTGTGTGTAGACAATTATTTGTTATAGTTATAAGGGAAAATATTTTGGTATTTTCTCATAAAAATATAAATTTGTAGTAAAGCCAGTGTGTAATTCAAAACCAAAATAGCCTCCAAAAAGCACCCATTAGATGTTTACGTTTTGCATTAAACAGTGGATGATTATAATTAATAATTCATTGTATGAAATGTGTGAAGTAAACATTACTGTCAGTGTATTAAAGCCCACTGGTAACTATATATACCGACTCTTATCATTCAGTAACTTTTATTCTGCCCACAATGTATTTATGGGTTTAATATGATCTTCAGAGTAAACAGCAATTATTTCTTTAAACAGCATTTACCAGGTTGTATTTGTAACCGAGACCTGCATTTTCTTCCAGGTAGGGACTTTTTTTTGTATTATTTAGACAAACTTTAGTATCACGGGTAAATATTAAACGTAATACTTGGGTACAAGTGGAAAACAGAACTGGTGTGCCTACCTGACAACTATCCTTATTACGCCTTGTGTAAAGGCAGTATTTTGGATTCACTTTATCTGGTGGTTCTGGAATATAGCTCACAGGTCGCAGAAAATCATCTGTCCATGGGTGAGTCATCTTGTAACATCCAAAGGGACTATAACATAGTTCCTCTGAACCTATTAATAATAATTGTTTATTTATACAACTGATGAGACCACTAACAGGGACATAGATTAAGATGGGAAGATAATATTAAAATAGATCTTAAAGAAATGTGATATGATGGGGTGAACTGAATTCATTTGGCTGAGGATGTGTAACAGTGGCACGTCATTGCGAAAATGGTAATGAGCCAAAGATTCCGTGAAAGGCAGGGAATATCTGAAGTAGGATTTGAGGTTCTCACAGCAGTGAGTATGAAGATGGTTGTCTTCTGGGTTGTAGCGCTGTAATCTGGTATAAGTTTACACGAACATTTCAGAGGTTGTTGCTGCCTCCATCATCAGGGCAATTGCCCTGATGAGTGCATAGCACTACAACACAGAAGTCCGTCATCTTCCACAGAATTTCTTGACAAAATGACTATTAGCAAAGGACTCTCTTCCAAGGAATTAGTGGCTTCATCTGTAATTACTTTATGACTGGAAATAAATGAAATAAAGCTGAAAATTAACATATAATTTGTAATAGTGAATGTGATAATACATGATATATTTTATTTTTCCAAAGTTTACCTCTCATCATAAACACAATTTCATTAAATTATGGTAAGAAAGGTGGGAGTGGAAGAATTTTAATTTACTTCCTTGGTAAAATCAGACAGAAATAAAATTAGAATTGGAATTCTTTGAATCATAGAAGCAAACATAGTAAAGACTTAAAAAGTACTTATGTTAGAGATATCTGATTGAGATACAAGAATAATAAAAATGAAGAAATGGCCAGGAATTTTGTATATCTTACAATACACTACCAGATGCAGAAGTTACTTATTGCCAATTATATTGACAGTGATGTGTGAAGTCGGAAAAGTGGTAGAGACTATTTACTGGAAGGAATGAGGCTGTATAACGTAGCTTTGCCACTACAGATCTCTCTCATACCAATCAGCTTTTGATCCTGAGTCTCCTAGATGAAAGGTCTGTTTGAAGAATTAAAGTGAAGGAATCCAGGAAATAAAAATTTTAAATAAAAAGTAGAGTTTGTGTTTTATGATTCAAATTGGACAGGTTATAGCACAGGTACTCTGTCACTGGCTTCTGACCACAGAGGCCTGGATTCACTTCAGGTCAGTCCATGTGAGATTTGCGGTCGACAAATTATCTCTGGGACAAGTTTTTCTCCAAGTCCATTATATTCCCCCTTTCAATATCATTCCACCATTGCTCCATATTCACCCATATATTATCTGGGGATGGATAATGTGCCTGTTAGTAGCTGCAATTCCTAGTCTCACACCATAGTAATAATAAAAATTTGAAAGATGTTCATGTAAAATATATAATGCCACACACACAATCTGTTTAATGTAACATGTATTAAAAAACAAAATGTATTTCAAAAATAGCTGCTGCACTATGTACCTCAGGGGCAAGGTTTGTCTCAGGTACATAGAAGTAAATACCATGTAAAATGGTGGTTGGTGGAATAATAATAATATTCAAATAGAAATTGTTTCTGAAGAAGGAATACTTCAGTGGATTTTTTGTGGGTTGTAGCACCAGAAAGTCTGGTAGAAGTTTATCAGTGTTTCAGGCCTCCATCAACATGCTACTCATCACCCTGTTGTTGGAGGCAGCAAGGACCTTTGTAATGTTGGTAAACTTCTACCAGACTACACAGTGCTATAACCCAGAAGACAACCATTTTCCTTTTCACTGCCATGATAACCTCAAATCCTAGAACTTAATACTATGATATATCACTTTCCTTTTCTACTAAATGCCTTAATGTGCTTGCTCATATTACAAAGAGTTCAGTTTGAGAACTAATGTAACCATTTTCATATAATGTTGTTTCACTGTATAGTAGAGTACTGAAACTAATATTTAACAAGTTGAAAATTGGAGGAAAACATTATTTTCCAATGAAAGACAGAAATAATTTATAATAATGAATGAAATATATTAGATTAAGATACAATTTGATGTACCAGGACTTCATACGAAACAATTGTAGTGTTAATATTCAATCTGCTATGTGTAGTGTGTAAAATACACAGGACTATATATGTAAATTTAACCTATGGTTAGTTTATAAACTGTAATAGTCATTGGTAGGGCTGTAGTATCAAGTAATTTTCATACGTCTGACTCATGCAGCAAAAGCCAAGACAAAGGTACTGGAACATTTAATAAGTTGACTGCTACACTGATTTTTTTTAATAACTATTATCTTGGGCCACAACATTTAAAGTTAGTTGTAAATAAATTGATGAACATAATATTTCTGAAAATATTAATAGCTAAGTGGTTGGGAACACATCTTTTAGAGTGGACACCTGAGACTACTCTGGCCTAAGCACAGCTTTGTGACGTGATGTGAATCCCTCCTTCGCGGATCTACCTTTCTTACTACTACTCCGTGACACTACAGCGCTTTTGTAGGGCCTTGCACATCCTAATGAGTTTCATCCATTCTGATCTATCCTCTGCCATCCTCTAACTCCCATCTTCCCGATTTCCTTCTCCATACCATCCAGCCACCTTATCTTATCTTTTCTTACCATATATTTTGAGACATGAGAATTTATGTAAGAAACTACTTTATTATTGTATTTTGTATGTTACCCATGTGTGAGCTGAAGAACGGGTCGCTTAAGTGCTAAGATGCTATTGGACTTTCAAGGACAGAAACAGGATTGGAATAAATTATTATCATAGTAAACTATGAAATAAGTATTCCAATAAAGCAAACATGGAATTATAAAAGCCTTCATATAGTATTCATATACATATTTTTGGCATTTATAACAAGAAATCAGTAGATATGGTTTTGATGTACTTGTATTGATATTGGTGATCATTTTGCTCAATAATTAGATGAGTCCCAGATGCTGACATTTGCAAAGACTTATACATGTCGTAGCAGATACAAGCATTAAATATGTACTCAGCTAATAGACTTGTAACAGTTAGGTAGAGACATATCGAAGCATGTCAGAGTAGACATTAGCATGATCTGTGGCAGTTAGACAAATGTCATGCAGTGGGCACTGTTGTCCATTGGAGCTGTGTTAAAAATTTGAAATAATTATGTAATTAGTTTGAAAATTATCTGTCTAAAACCTTCTTCATCTGGTGAATGTTGGATGAGATAAAAATTGGTGAGCCGGCATAGCTTAGTTAGTATAGTGACTGGCTACGGAGTGGACAATCGGAGGTTCAATCCCCGATGGGGGCAGAGGATTTTGTCCAGACCTGTTCTGGGGCCCACTCAGCCTCCTATCCTACTCGCCCCATCTAGTGCCGACGTCAAGAATGAGTAGGAACTATATACCACCTCTAACCCCCAAACACCTCCATGGTGTATAATGGGACAGCTTCACTTTTTACATCTTTAAGTAAATTGGTAGCCATAATAGATCAAAATAAGTTTTGAGTAAAATTTTTCAGTTTTCAATTTAATAATAATTTATCACACAAAATTAATCATAATCCATTCTTGAGTATTACTAACATTAAGTTGTGGATAGACAAATGGCTGGAGGCAGCAACTGTATTCTGCTGCATTATGCATAAAAAGAGCCTAAAAATTAAGAAAAAGATTAAATTTTTGTTGGTTATATAGATCTGTGAGGGACAGAAAACTAAAATTTGTATCTCATAAATGTAGTGAAGTTTTCCACTATATTTACTTTAAAGTTCATTGTAATACTTTCCTGTGTTTGTATGGTGTGAAATTTTATCTCTCAGAGGGGAAAAACAGAGGTTCAGAGTGTTTGACAACATGCTGCTGAGCAGAATCTTTGCATCCAAAAAGGATGGATGGAGAATGTTACTTAATGAGGAGATCTGTAATTTGTACTCTTCTCTACATATTAAAGTGATTAAATCATGGAATATGACACTGGTGGGGCATGTAGCATGCATGAAGAGATGAGAAATTCAGACAACATTTTTGTTGGAAAGCCTGAAGGAAGAGAACACATGGAAAATCTTTGCATAATTGGAAGGAAAATATTAAAATTGATCTTATAAAAGTAGGATGGTTGTGTACTGGATTAATCTGGAGTCAGTTGGGAATTGCCAGTTAGGAAACAGTGTAATAACTGCTAAGAATAAGAGAGATTTAAGGTTATGTTTGAACTTACTGTTTTTGGGTTCTTCAGGTTGAAGAACTTCATTTGTAGTTCCTGTGTCCTGCAGATTATTGTTCATTAATAGAAGAACTGTCTGAAGAAGCACACTGTTTGTTGTGTTCAGTATTTGCTGCATTGTTCGTTTTCAGTCACACTTTCAATAAACTGCTGGCTTGGACTTAAGAAGATAAACAGGCACTAAGATTCTAAACTGCACTTCTCTTCCACGTATGAGTCATCCAACTTCATACGAGTGATACTAACAGCTGTCTGAACTACTGCAAATGCAAGCACATTTAAATATACTACAGAGTCTTAAAATCAATTAAATTGTAAGCATACAACAAAAATAGTTTCTGAACTTCCTTAGATGTCATAAAGAAATGTACGTCATAGCAAGTGATGTCAGTATATTTTGAAATATTGTTTATAATGTCTGTCTAGACGTTTCTGTGCTGAAGCTTTGGCTTACTTTATAATAGTAAAAAAATTAAACTTAAGGGTCATGTTTCTAATAACCAGATAAAATTGACAGTTTCGAGTAAAGTTGCCTGCTTTATCTTCTACTATTTGTCTTCCTACCCCTATGATTGACTAAGACCACATTACACTATCTTATCACTAAAACAACTTTTCTTTTTCTTCTTAATATACTGTCAATATATCTGCTATTCTTATGTGTACCATTGAAGATGTAAATAAAATTATGTTTTTCTTGTTCCCAGTAATCACAATCAAATTTTTTTGTCAAACATTATACTGACTGATTCTGTAATATTGTACAAATATTCTGATAAAGAATTTTATGGATAAAATTACATATATTAAAGGAGAGGTTGCCTAGAGCAGGTATGAATAATTTTAGTATGAAATGGCAATGCATTATATGTTATTACTTTAAAATATATATCTTTTAAAATAACTTAAATTTTATTGAAATGGGACTTTGTTTTACTATATTTGATCTAGTGGGAGATAAAACTAAAATTCATAGCAAGTTTTTTATCATATGCATCTATGTAGCTTGCATACTTACAAGTTATAAATGCCTTCAATTTATTACATCCAGCTTCTGAGTGGGATTTAATGTAAGTTTCCCATGTAGTTTATTCCACCAATTCCTTGTTTCTCTTTGCTACTTATTTTACTGAGGTTAAATAATTAATGTCCTGGTGAATGTTTTGATAATTCCACTGAATCATTTCATCCCAATTAATGTCCAGAAAATTTTGCTCCCACCTGGTGTCTGTAGTTTACATTTGGGAATCTGAAAAGTATCCATATTAATTTTTGTAATGGAAATTACGTGGTTCTAGGTAAAACCAGTTTGATGTTTATTTTGAGATATTTATCAATTCTGCAGTGTTACCCAGGGCTAGATGGACTTCAGTTTTAAATTTACTTGTTGAGGAATTACTGCATAACCTCTAGCACGAAAGATACACCAAAGAAAATTCTTGCAACAAATGTTCTTGACTTATCAACAACCACTTGTTATATGAAGTACTGCAGTTTTTATGTCACTCATGCACTATATGGTTAACAATAATATGGTTACCATAAATTTGTGTATGACATTGTTTATATGTACAGAAGTGCATTACTTACATTACATTATGGCTTTCTTCTCAGTGTCCCAATTTGTTACAGTTAAACCCATATCTCTGTGCATATGTCCCTAATGTCTATGCTGTCTCATCTCTTTCATCCTGTGTGTGTGTGTGAGGAGAGTAATAATTGAATTATACGAATCATGTTAAGAACATACAGATGAAAGGAATGCTGTGGAAAATACATCTACCTGAAAGAAAGGATATGGATAAAACTGAACACTGAGCAGCTTTATAAATTGTACCCATCACCAAATGTTATTACAGTGTTAAATCAAGGGGGTAAGGTGTTGGGCCTGTAGTGCAAATATATGTAAGAAATATGTACCCTATTTTAGTTGGAAAACTTGAAAAGTCCGTTTGGAAGACCAAGACATTAACACGACGGTATTATGCCATCTGAAGGAAGTAGGGTCTGAGGATGTGAATTGGATGGAATTGATTCAGGACAGAGTCCCACATTTCTTAAGAGATCAGTTGAGTTACTATTAGCTTCTCAAGAAGGACTGCTTTAAGGAGTTTTTCTTCTTCTGATGAATGGGAAGAAAACAGGATTTACATTTTGAAGAAATAACGTGAATGGAATAAAGCTTTGGACATGATACATTCATAAATCACAGGAAATTTATTCAAATACATTTTTATTCTGATTTTTCATGAAAGCTGCCCTACATGTAGTTCAGTTTCTTTTGGAATAAAAATATCAAATTCAAAATAAATCTAGAAATTTTTTTTTGAAAGATATATTAAATCTGTTTTCAAAACAAAATACTGTGGATGTGGGGGAAATTTAATGGTCATATTATCTACCTGTGATAAGTAGTCAGTTCCACACACTAGCTGTGGTGAACCTTCATTACCTGTTCAGTAAGAAAGTTGGTGGACATTTTGGTCTGACTTTACAGTTGTGTGGACAATATGTTCTACAAGAAATGAATGAGAACTAGCCACTTTTTTTTTTTGGGGGGGGGGGGCTGTCACCATATTACTTTTGATGATTAAATATTTCAGCAATATGTATATGGTGGAATATAAACTACTTTTAGGAGGAATAATACATTATACATTTTCAAAACAGAGCGAATGAAAATTTTAGTCCTGAAAGCAATTGAATTATGTAGAGGTTGCAGCAAACAATGTAATGAGAAAGTGCAAATCACGTTTTGTTGCGTAAATGAGGTTGTTAAATTTTCTACCCAACCCCTTCGTGTCTTTTGATGTTTAATATAGCGCTGCATGTTGTGTAATGTCGCCTTGTACTCGTGCGATTTTATTATCATTCCTGCCTATTTTTCAGTTATCGTTGAAGATATTTCTAAGATGGAACAAAGTCCATACGAAGGGTCAATAAGGACATATGACATTGCAAGGGTCACATGCAGCTGTAATGGGCGAACCCCATGTGGAAGTCGTGATAACTATTTACACACGCGAGTATGAGGACGTCACAGATTTACGTCATGTATATTGAGGATAATATATTACATTGCTGTACTATTATTTGACGTCAAAAATATCCAGATACATTGAAAATAAATAACATGCTTGTATTATTTGTTAAATAATTTTTATCATCCCTTATTTATGGTCAAATTATTGAATTTAAATTTGTTGGAAAGGATCATGATTACACCTTTTCACAGAAACATGTTTTACGTGAGGCGCATCGAATGCTCGTTTTGAACGCTCGGCTCGACTGTGCTCCATTCATTTCATTCAATATGTCGGACATGGAGGTTGTGTTATCTTTGTTCCATTTAATACGCTACTCTTATTTAAATAACTCGTGAATGCTCGTTACGACGCCGCTCGACTGACTGACTGACTTGTAATGTAACACTCAAAGGGATTCGCGAAAAAACCGACAACACGATGGAGCGCCCGCGAGCGTGAGCGGCTCCGTTCGCTGTCTTCACTTGTGTAATGCTCGATTTGTAATACGTTACATTACAGGCAAATGTTATAAGTCAGTCGCCAACTTAAGACACGTAGTACACAGTAACAGACAACGTGAATTAATTCATCTGTGGCGTGAAAGGATTGTCGTTGTTGCCAAAACAAACCTACGAATTAAATATATGCTATCTTTTATTTAACCCTTTGAAGCCGAAGCTCGTCTTCATATTATTTATGAATCCAGACCGTACCGCGAAGAAAACACTTCACTTAACCATTAGAAGTCGAATCAGGCGGTACCACATAAGATTTAACCAAAGAACATCCCGGTCAAAGCCTTAAAAGACGTTGCTTTCCATTGAAAGCTGCTGAGGTTTTAAAGGTACCTTCGTCGACGGGATATTCGGCTTTATTCCGAAAACGACAGTAATTGAGAAATGAGACGCGGCATAAATAAGCTTCGTGCCCGCTAATAAATTTAATAAAATTTTCATCGGATTCGAACTGAGACCGCTCGTTAGCACAGGAAACATCTGCATTATCTCCGTTCGGTTCGTCCATCTTCATGTCGTAAAGGAGGGAAACATAAATCAGGTTAGGATTGTCAGGAACACGTCTGTGTTATGGTGGGGTGTCCCCCTTCTCTTGATATTCACAAAATTTGGAATGTTCGTCATGCCAGCGTAACATCGCTCTTTTAGTAATAACGGCATTCCAGATAAGACGAGACGCTGGGCTGTTAGAGCTTACTCACCGCGTCCCTCGCCCGCTGTCATTTCATGTTATATTTCATGTTCTTGTATTTTGTTTTTTAATAACGAAGAAGCAATTGTATTATTCTTTGCAACGCCTTGGTCGTAAGTATGTATCACATAAGTAATGTTAATTGTTGCTTTTAGAAATGCCACGTAAATTCTGCCTCTGCAATCGACTTGGGGTGGGTGTTTATTAGTTGGAACAGCGCGTACGTCGGCCGTTATTATCCCTCGAAAACGTTCTTACATTTGTTATGCGACTCTTCAGAGTAATTTCTGTGTCAAATAAGAGTTTGTTCGGTCGTGAACGTCTAGAACAATCGTCTGAGTATTTACGGAGCGCAGAAGGCACAGAGCACCCGAATTTTTGCAGGACAGACAGTAACATTTGTACCACGTGTCTCCCAAGGGCGAGAGGAGAATTTGCAAATCGTCTTTGCCGGCAGAAGGTGTTATAGGCCTTATCAGCGTGTGTTTTTGCTTGGGGGAATAGTAGTGTTAAAATCCATAACCTAACAATTTTAGAAATCATAAACGTCGCAGTCCTTTTCGCAACAGTTAGTTGGCACTGTTCAATGGAGATTTCATTTTCGCTGTATTTTGTAACCTTGTTGGTGGTTTTATATACACGGATCATTAATGGATCTTCGGACTGTAATTGCCATGAAGAGGAATGGGTTGATCCAGACCTACTTAACAGAGTGATCTATGATCATGCTTCTAAGACTCTGAAAGAGCGGCCACGGTTTGTGACAAATTTTGTTTATTACTTTTAATATCAGTAATTATGTTAATACAGTAAGTTTAAACACCTCCAATTTTTGTGTTGTATGACAACGTACGTTACAGCAAGCCGTTTTTTGTTTTGCAGTCTTGTCCCTTGTTAAAGACAGTTTATA